TTTCCTTCACTGGGTCCTGAATACCCAGCAGGCCATTCTTCACCACAACACCGTGCTTTTTCCCCAGTCCCCCAATATCACAACCAGAGAGTGGACTCTGTGCTCCCAGCACACACCCCTTTGTCTCTAAATAACATCTTCTCAGGGGACCCCACCCTCTGTCAAGGTATCAAAGCCTTACCTAATTTGCCACAACCAATGAATCCTGATGATCCATGTGGTTATCATCATCCACCACCAACACTGTCTGTTTCATCACCTCAAGACACCACGGTAACTCGGACTCAATCTAAAGCAATTTCCATCTCATTCAAGACTGTCTCAGAGAACACCACCTCCTGCAGCCCCCCAGGGCTTTCTGTTTCAGACTGGTTAGCCTCTACCTGGGCACCACGTGGGGACTTCACTCACGAATGGCTTGCCCTTCCGTCTTTCGAGACCTCTGTGAACCTGCCATTTCTCAGTGCAGACGTCTTGGAACTCCTAGAGAGGCAAGTGCAAAAGCGGAGTGATTTCCTGATGTGGAAGGACAAGGAAAAGAATAGTTATTCCTTTCCAAAACCACAGGGACCAGGGTACCAACCGAATTCTTCAGGGGGAATGTTAGGGTCCCCTGCTGATAAGGATGACTCAGCAGTCTCCCTTCCCCAAGGGAGCCCCAAAGGCAAACCACAGGAGCTGCAGATGCATGAACTGCCCCCACATCTTAAATCTTTGGGGGACTATTTACAGCAAAAACGCATCCAGTTCTTCTGGGGTCTCCCATCCCTACACAGCGAGTCCTTGCGCTCTGCCATCTCTCTCTCGGGGGGCGCTCCCCCTGTCTCTTTTTTCAATAGAATATCAAATGCCTCCACCAATCAAGAAGCCCCAGAGCTTCCCCAGCCCCTCCCTCTGTCCTCACCCGAAATCCAGACTCCAACGTTGCCTCAAACTCCGCCACAGTCCCCGTCCATGCCACAATCCCAGCCGCCAGCCGACCTGCCTTGCCCAATCCCAGCCCAACCATCTGGCCCTTCACACCAAATTAAGATCTGTGGCGTGTTTTCCAATAGACCCGAGAATGACCCAGATTGTCTCCAACCTGCTGATACTGAATTCCTGGAATGGCATGTGTTGCAGAAGCAACTAGCAGATGTGTGGGGTTTACCCGCTGTTGTCCAAAGTTCTTATAAAGACTTTAGCGCTTCACCTCCCGATTTTCCTCAACGCCGGCACTCTCTTGTCTCTAAATCCATCTCCATCCTTCCTGGAGATTTCCCCATTAGTGATAAACTTCGGAGAAAACTAGAACATCACCTTCGAAAGAGGCTTATCCAACACTGTTGTGGCTTGCCCCAAAGGATCGTACATTCCATGTCATTACAGATGCCTCCAGAATGGCTGTCAGAGGCAAATGAATTGGGGGGCTACAGTGCACCTTCGGGAAGCACTGTGCTTCAGGGTCGGAGTTGCAAAACTCTAAATGTTGGACTGAGCCAATCGGGAAGTGTCCATGAGAGGAAGAGCTCGGTAATGTCTCAGTGTAAGAAGGATGCAGGGAGGTCTGAGGGACATAGCCCAGAAAAAGTCTCTGCGAAACTGCACAACCAAGTAGGGCAGGACGATTTGTGTTCATCGGTGTGTCAGGACTACTCCCTCAACACCTCCCAGCAGCTCTCCTTCATGAAGTCCAGCGCGCAGAATTTGCTGGAAGACCATATGAAGAGGTTTCGTCTGGGGATGCGATTGGGACCTCCCTCTAGAGTCCGTCAATCCTTAGACATCTTCAAAGAGACAGAAACCTCTTCCCTTCCCAACCATCCCTCCTCAACCAACATGACTACTCAGGAGGACTCCAAATCAGGGGGCTTCACGTCCATTAGAAGAAAATCGAATGGGGAAGAGAAGGTGGGGCTAACAGGTGTAGGTCCTGTGCGAGCTCACCCTGTCCCTGCTACCTCACACCTGGGCAGGGACAGAGAAGGGAGCGTGAGAGAACCAATCCCTGCCGTCACCCAGGAGCCAGCAGAGGGTGCGCAGAGGATGAAGGGTGGCAGACCCAGTCTTCTGCCTGTCAAACACAGTCTCCCGGGCAAGTCAAGGCAGACTCAGTGTCCCCAAGGCACGAGGTGCCCCCCCATGCCGCCTGCAAGGCAGGCTGTGGCCACACACGAGCCAGAGGCTGACAGAATGAGTTTCAGTAGTAGAGCAGAAATGCTGCAGGGCAAAGAGAGGCGCCAGAACTTAGAGATGCTTTCCAAAGCCGGTATGTCCAGGGAGATATTCAGGGCTGAGGAACTTGATGCTCCTCGATCAAAATCTAGTGACATTTTGATAACCAGCAAGCCAGGGAGCCCTCCACCAGCACCACTTTCTTCGGATAACTTGACCGTCAAGTCCTCACTGACTCATGCTCAGGGCATCTCCAGTGGGGACATGGAGGCCTCCCAGGTGCTGCAGGCCCACTTGGTGGACAGTGGGTTCAGCCCGGGGCGGCGTTTGGGGAATGGGATTTGTCAGCATGCGTTCAAGAGGTGGCAGGATAAGAATTTCCCTCCAGCTGCCAAGAGAGTGAGTCTTCGGGGGACCAACACAGATGAGCTGGGTGGAGGGGACGCCAGGCTGGGGACACCCCAACCCAGAAGGCACAGCGTTCCCACTCGGAACATGGCATTACATGAGGCACACTGGAGGCAGACTGCCCAGGTTTTCAGCAAAGAGGGGCAACCTCCTGCTGAAAACATATTCAGGCAAAAAGTGAAGCACTTTTTGCAATGGATTCGTCCTAGGAAAAGGGAAGAAAATTCCCAGGAGAAGGGCAGCTCCATATCAAGCTGTCCGCTTAAAAGTGGAGCTTCCTTTTCTGGGATGTCGGGAGCTCAGAACATCAAGACAGGCACTAGAAAGTCCCAGGAGAGGCTGGGCTATCACGAGACCATTCATTCACCAGTGATGTGTGGGAGAACGCATCAGAATGCAAAAGTGCAGACCTGCACTGAGCCTATTCAGCGACATCCTCTTAACTACAGGGGTCCCTGCTGTAAAGTGACACACGCCAAGTTCTGCCCCCAAGCTGCTGTCATTGCTGGCCAGACTCATCCTACAAATATTCGATGGGTCAGAGACATGGGCGGACATCCACAGAAAGCTGTGGCACTTGGGGAACAGCTATTGTGTGGGAAGCGTCCCCCACCCCCACATGGTATCTGTATACCATCTAAAAGCCAACTGCAGGCCTCACGTGCGCCACGCTTCTCCAACGTCTCTCACCACTGTGGAAGGGACGGTGATCAGAGAGCTGTGTCAACTACGTAAACAGAAAATTCTCCTGCAAATTTTCCAGCGAGGAAAATTTTTTACCCAAAATAATTATTGTTTATCAGATTGATTATCCCCAATAAATTCTTCTTTAATAGCAAAGTCTTATGTTTCTGGGACTTGGGTTTTGGGTAAATCGGGGCTGTGCTGAAAGCAAGGAGTTAGTTCAGTTCTTACAAATGGCCTCCTTTGGTTTCTCAATGATGACCACTCCCTTGGAACCCTGGCTGAGAAAGTAGAATGTGTTTCAGCCCCAACCTCACTCTCCACCTAAGTCTGAGGACATGTGCTCTGCATAGCCCTGATGCAAGCACATAGTATCCCACACCTTCTCCTTTATTGTATGCTCTCTAGTGTTTAGGGATTATGGAAGAGCGGTCTTCCAGATGCAGAGACCTAACAACAAGTGTGTTTGCAAGCAAATCCACAGGAAAGAAGAAAGAACACCTTAATTATGTTTACAGTCAGTGACCAGAGGTTCCCACGGGTGGTGGGTGAATGCTGAAAGTGGGAGTGTTTGGAGGTGGATGTTTCTAGTGTGGACCAAGGACCTGGATCAGGAGGGCTCATTTTGTTGAACTAGCTGGGGTAGGATCTAGAAACAGTGCAGATGCTGTTTGAGAAGGCTCATGTTCAGCACCATTAAACCTGCCACTGAGGCTTCTCTGTGGAGAAGGGACCTTGAAGTAGTCGTTTTCTCCCCCTGGTATTTCTTCAACCTGCCAGGAGTCATGACATTTTATGCCACGTGCAAGCATCATGTAATTGTCAGTGGGCTGTTGACAAGTCAGCCCCTTTCCCTCCCAGGGTGAACTGAAAATGAAAGCTAAAAAAAAGATGCTTTAAATGAAGAGGGTAGTAAGAAAAAGAGGGCAAAACAGGATTCTGCTGGTGAAACAGGTTTATGCCTCAATATACCCCATCATCACCATGTCATGATCCGTCCTGCTTCCACTACTCAGTGTGATCCAGGCACCACCTGAGTGGGTCTGGGCCGGGTACTGTGCAGCATCCTGATGACTTTTGGTCATAGAGTTCAGGGTTCTTTCAGTATTAATGCAGTTGTATCTGTAGGGATGTCATCAGCCATGACAACCTCTTCTTTGGGAAGGGCATGTACTCAAACTTGATGACAAGATCCCACTGTTAGTGTGTAGAGTTCACCTATTAGGATGGAGGTAGCACCTTTAATGCACATGTCTCTGGGGGAGTCATGGTAGATCTCGCTCACCACACTTTCAATTCATGAGCCAGCAGTGAGTCTAAGACTTTGCGCCAGAGCTACATTTTCTCTTGGGGACTAACCAAAGACCTCCAGACAATGCTCTTTGGGTCACACTGCACATACACAGACTTACCAGGGTTGGCATACACCTCTTCTGTTTGACTCAACTTACAAGTGGGTTTTGGAGGCCAGGCGTTCCACAAGGAATTATCTCATGTGTAGTAAAATGGGAACACAAGCAATGGAACTCATTTCAGTGTCTCTTTAGTGTATTCTCTTCGGTGCCATTCAACACCTCCTTCACTTCCCTCACACTTATCTCATTTGCTCAAAGATGTGCCGGAGCACCATTCACAGAGAAACCATGGGAGGGCTTTTAGTCACTTTTTCATCAACAAACTTTCCAAAACACATTCCTATTCCACTTTTCTTCTGTTACATATAATGGTTTCCACCCATCAGCAAAGGAGTTAGAGTTTCTGCAATTTCCTTGTTGAGACACAGCTACACTCTAATCTTGATGGACAGAGGCCACCCTTGACAGGTTATTTTTTTGTGCTTCCCTCTCCTTATGAGGCACTTGATCTCTTTTATTTTTTAATTTTCAGTTTCCATCACAGTAATGTTTAAACATAACACAAGATACACGGAACACAATAACTCCCCAAGTATCCTTTGCACAACTTCCAGGATTATGAACCAGTAAGTGTGACACATCACATCTTTTATACTATGCTGAAAGTATGAACATCAGTTTAAATATCTTAAAACTCAACTCTTACACATAAGTTCTTTGCCAACATAGAAGCTCCCCCACTTCTTTGATATTTTGCAATGAACGTATCCACAAACAGCATTGTTGGTGAAAAAGCACTGAGCCTTAGAAGGGTTGGCACACCCTTCTGCTCTTTGAGTCAACTGAGAACTCATTTAAGTGATTTCTTCCCTCCACACCATGTGGAAAGTAATCTTACAGAGAAAACACACGCAGATCAAGAACTTGTTACTCTCCTTTCCAAAATGCCATCAGAGTAAAAGATTAAATAAAAAGGTACAAAAAAATCATCATTCAGCAGAGAAATTAAAATCAAAACCACTATGAGATAGCGTGTCATACAAGGATGGCTAGACTAAAAAAATCAGATAATAACATATACTGGCGAGAAGGTAGAGAAATTGGAACCCTCATACTGCTGGCGGGAAGGGAAAATGGTGTAGTTGTTCTGGAAAGCAGTTTGGAAGTTCCTCAAAATGTCAAACATAGACTTAGGCTATAACCCAGAAATTCTACTTGTAGGTATATACTCAAGGAGTAGGAAAATATCTTTCCACACAGAAACTTGTAAATGAACTCTCCTAGCACTACTACTCACAATAGTAAAAAGTGGGAAACAATACAAACATTCATCTATTGAAGAATGGATAAATGAAATATACTGATTCCATAGAATCAATGTAACATGCTTGGCAATAAAAACTGCTAATATTGCTGTGATATGAATGAATATTCAAAACATGGTAAGTAGAGAATCCAGTGACAAATGACCACACACATCATTCTACTGGTGACATATCCAGAATATGGAAACCCAGAAAGACAGAGTAGATTAGCGGTTGCATGCAGTGGGGAGATGAGAAAAAAGAAGGGTGACAACTCGTTTACTGGGTTTCTTTCCGTTTTCACGAAAATGATTTAAAATTGACCATGGTGATGGTTATATGTGTCTGTGAATATACTAAAAGTTATGGAATTATATACTTTATGGATGAAACATATGGGATGTGCACTCTATTTCAATAAAACCATTAACAATCATTTAAAAAGTTTAAGCCCTTGCTGACAAGAAGAGAGAAGCTACAACAATGATGTCATTACATTTTGGAAGATGGAAACCCATGAGGAGTGGTAATTAACCAGCAGAGATGGCAAACCAATTCAAACCACATAACCCCAGGAAATGAATGACTTCTTTTTTGGAGACACCAGATAATTAGGATTTACATGCTGAAAACATGTTGAATTTTTTCTTTTTTACAGTGTGTATCATTAAATATTTTTAATGGGGGGGGGCACTAGTTTTTTCCAGTACTTTCTGAAACCCTGTTGCAATGTCAGCATGCCTTATATGTACAAAAGGTCCCAAGTTTCTCGCCTGAGACAGAACCTGAGACAACAGCTTTAGAGGTGGCACTGCACACCTCAGGGACCTGGGTAGGGAGGTGATGCGAGCTGTTGGTATAAACTGCAGAAATCTCAAAGGATAGGTAACATTCAGAACAATAATATAAAGAACATATTTGACAAATGTGTTGAAAAGGGACATGGTTGGTAAACAATTACTCTTTATTCAGACTGACCAACTGAGAGGCTGGCAGGCCTCTCAGCCCCTAGCAAGTCTTCATTCTGTCTGGGCTCTCCGGCCTTCTCTGCTTCTGTCTCGGTTTCTGTTTGTTCTCGGATTCTAGGCTTCTGCTGGCGTCCCCGTGACGCCGCCCTTAAAAATCCCAGTCTCGGCCCAGGTGAATCCCATCTACCTATGCCCACCCCCTACTCCAGGTGCCTGCCATCAGGCATGCATTCAGGACCTCAAGGATCCATCATCTATCCCGATGGCAGGAGGGCAGAAAAACCTGACACTTTTTTCCTTACCCTACAGTCCACCCCCTCAGGGTTTTCTGCCATCCAGTCTTCATATATACAATTTTCTTAGCAAACATAAACAATGCAGCCATGGCCCACAAAAGCAAATACATCACAATATAACAACAAAATACAACAGAACACAAATAAGTCCAGGCAGGGCCCCAACCTAGTGCAAAAGACAATTATTGGTACCAGCAGTTGAGCCACCACATCTGCTGCCGAAGGCACTGCTCATACGAGGGAGGGGAACCACTCACGGCATCTACTGTAACACGCCAGGCGCCGTCAGGCTTCCTGGCCTTCTCTGGCTGTAGTCTCGGCTACAAGCCACACACCGCATCCACCCCCAGGATGCACTCGCTCTCTGAATGACGATTCTATTCTGTTGGGGGTAATCGCCAACCCTCAGGGTTTCTGTCTGCTGTCGCTCCAACATTCAGCTTTCATAGCCACCAATGCGACTCGCAGACCCCTGCACTCAGGCCAACCCACTGCACAAGCACATGGGCCGGGGATCCAAACTCTACATTCGGCTTGGGCTCCACCCCAAGCCACGTTCCCCACCTGTCCCCCAAGGACGGGTTCCTCAGCTCCTCACCCTCTCTCGACAACAAGCAGGGCATCACCCACAGGTGATTTTACGAGACTCACAGGTCCTCAGCATACTTAGGCTGCTTAACAGCCGCTCAATGCTTCCCTAACTGAGCATCGGCACCAGCTTTTGCCTTCTCAGTTGGCTTTTCTCCTCTGCCTGGCTGCTGGGCATACACAGGCTGCTTTTGGCCATCAGGCCCACTGGCCACCCCCAGATTCTTAAAAAGAAAACATAACCTGCCAAGGGCCTCCGCCTTCTGGCGGGATTGTCAGTCCAAGTTCATCAGTCCGAGTCCAACATCCAAGTCCATTGGGCCAAGTTCATTGGCCTCTCCCTGAATCAGCACTGGCGAGCTCCGAGTCATGGTCCTCTCTTTGCCAATGATTCTGGCTGCCTCGGGGTTCGTGGCTGGTCTTCTCGGGCCGCTCCTCCACACAAGGTCTCATCCTGCAGCTCCTGGGCCTCGTCCATCTCCTGTGCCACCATGACGCCTCCAGCGTCGTCACCGGGAAACAGTGTTATTACTTAGTCCCTCCAGGTCTTCGGAGGGCTCCATACCCGTCTGCATGGATCATCTTGCCTACTTACGCCAATTATAAAGGCAGGACAGGGCACTGAGCAGCTTTTCTAGGATCCACCAGATCGGGTAAAGGAGGAGTCAGAGTTCTTAATGGTTTTTTGCAGGTCATTTATTGGAATTACCGGTACACAACAGGCAGGGGTGCTGGGTGGCGGGGAGGCTGGCAGGCCCCTCCCAGCCCCTAGAAAGTCTTCACTCTGTCTGGGCTCTCCGGCCTTCTCTGCTTCTCTTGGGCTTCTGTTTGTTCTCGGCTTCTTGGCTTCTGCTGGTGTCCCCGTGTAGCCACCCTTAGAAGCCCACTCTCACCCCAGGTGAATCCCATCTACCTATGCCCACACCCTATTTCAGGTGCCCTCCATCAGGCATGACATCAGGACCGCAAGGCTCCATCATCTATCCTGAGGGCGGGAGGGCAGAAAAGCCTGACATTTATCCTTACCCCACACACATGATTTTTAAAGAATATATTTGATGTACCATTTTTATAAGACCTTTCTCACTTGTTCCTCTTTTGGTGGCATTTATCTTGTTCAAACTTTAAAGAAAGTTTTCATTTTCTAAGTCCCACTAACGTAGGAACAGTCAGGACCAATGTGGTCTAAAAAAAAAAATAAGAGAACACACCAGACATGCAAACTTATGTGGGAAAGATTTTTCTGAACAGATTCCTCTTTTCCTCCTTCGATCAAGGTGGGGAATGAAAGAAGGGCTGTGCTTGACATGTAGCTTTCTTCTGGTAGAATCTGGTAAAGCTGTGGCCTCAAAGGGCAGCTCAGAAAGAATCTGTCATTACTGATAAGCCCTCCCAAGTGGGAGGGAAATGATTAGATGGCTGTGGCCAAGACTGATTTGTCAGACTCAGGCTGAGGATACAGGGAAGCAAACAAAGAAAATGACAGAGAGCAGGTGATAGTCTAAATACAAAGTTGCAAGACTTACAACCATAAAATGATGACCAAGCATGGGAGGATGAAATCGATCCATTTATACCATTATCATGACAGTGTTTTAAAAACTACAAAGGGCCTCCATGATGGTGCAAGGGATTAAGATGCAACCTATGACGCTCTCCCCAGTCAAGGCAGCACAAGTTCAATCCCCGGGCAAGGGGCTACTCACCTGGTACAGCAAAGCTCTCCTGACTCTGCTGTTCCCCTCTGCAGTGTATTTCAGTCAATCGGCCTGTTCTTTTCTGCACTCTGTCTCTGGTGGATCAACCTCCCCTCCCTGCCCGCCAGCCACCTCTGGCCTGTAGGCAAGTTCCTGTATGCGTAAATAAATAAATCTTTTTTAAAAAACCCATAGAGATCTTAGAACTTGGAGGAAAAGGCACAGCGTAGATGGGAAAATAGAAAACATTTTATGAAAGGTGCAACTAGACATGTGACTCAAAAAAAAGTAAAACCATTCCTGCACAGATTGCTTTGTAGACTTGTGCTCATTAGAAGTTATGCTAAAGGGAAGCCTGCCCCCGAAATCAGAAGAGTTTGGTCTGCAAGTACAAAACAGCACAACTGAATTTTATGTTGGTAAAATAAAGACTTAATAATTATCAAGAGAGGGAGGGGAATTGGTTGAGAGAAGAAAGAGGGAGCAGCAGGGTGAGACACTGTGTGGCTGGAAGGGAGGAGAATGAAAACACTTAGGGGCCGAACAGCCCTAAAGGGATTTTGGCAAAAGAAAATTTCTAAAAGATTTTTAAATTATTTATCATGATTTCAGGGGTATCCTATATCCTTACCTCCCTCATTGTCTTCCTTTCTGATCACTGGTACTGCCCTCTCATCCTATCAATAATGTGTGAACAGGGATTCTTATGAGAAGAGATGAGGAGGACAGGGATGCTGTTCGTTATAGTTCTGGTTTCATACACTGAAAAACACATGAAGGAAGTAGTAGTTTAGGACAGAATAGATCTTGGGGCTGTAAATCCTGGGCATATCAGACTTTCAAAGATTATGTGAGGTCAAGGGCCTCAGATAATATCTGGGTAACAGGGAATAAATAATTTGAAGGGATGAAGGTGAACTCTATGCTTGGGATATTCTCTGTGTCCTTCATGAGGGCATGAGTTTGGGTTTCAGGACTTGTGTACAGGGAGAGGATGGGGTGAGTTCAGTGCTCCATGACATTTCTCTTTGGCTTCTGAAAAGTAATTATTCCATTATAGGGAGACAGACAGTGGCATTCTTAGTGTGATCCTGGGGTCCTTTAGTAGATTCTGTGCAGATATTTTGTATGGTAGAGTCTTGATACTTTAATGGAAAGAATAAAATCTTTCAGGCCTTCCAAAGTGAGAAAATCCTTTAAAAGTCCAGAAGAAAGTGCCATAAACTATATTTTCATCTGCTCCTTTACCATAAATATTTATGGGGTGGGTTTCTCTAGCATAATATAGTCAGAGATCTCCCTTGTTGCCTCCAAAATGCCGGGGAATGGATGTGTGTGGGGGAGTAGGACTTGAGGTTCGTGATAGAGAAAAATCTTCTCCTTGAGCTTCCTAGTGAAGAATAAATGTCATCGACTCCTGAGAGCCCTTCTCTCCTTTAGGAAATATGTGAGTTAGGCCAAGTTCCTTACTTCTTACCTTACCCTAATAGAATGGAGAACAGTTAATCCTCTCCCTTTACTTTACCCTAATAAAGCAGTATGGAACGTGCATCACTGAAAAGGATCAGAGGTGTACGTTTCTTTTCTGACAAATAGCAGCATACTTTCATTTAGAAAATGTGGCTGATTCCAGAGTATCTGACAGGTGGGTTGTCACTGAGAAGTTGCGTATGAATAAGTTCTGCTGTTGAGAAACTGGGTTTGTGGGGGCAGAATCTAGAGCATAGTTGGGTGCTGGGTGCAAAATCTGTGATGTGTGGTGTGTTACGTTTGCGAAAGGTACATTTTGAGTTCCACAGCAAGGTCTCCATGCTTGTGAAAATCTCTCAATGGGAATGAATGTGAAGAGATCTTCCTTGGGGAATATCTTCAGGATGTCTAGTTTGATGGCAATATTGCAAGGTCAGGTGATCACGTGGCCATCGCTTGTAGAGATTTTCAACAGAGTCACTCAGAACGTAGGGGAAATGAATCAAAGAATAAGGAAACTATAATAGTGGAGTAAGTGGGAAAGGATGAAAATCAGAGGGCAAGAATGACACCATCATCCCTACTCATGACTCCACACTGGGCACTCACTCCATCCAACTCTACCTGACTTAGATCCTGCTGCTGTAGACTATTCAGGGCTTTGTGGAACACAGTAATATATCCCAGAATAAGAAAGTGTGAGAAAGTCTTGAGTGTGAAGATAACATGTACAGGTATTTGCCAAGGAGCTTGCTTCCCTCTTTGGGTCCTGTACTAAAGCCATGCTACACCTTACACCAATGGAACAGTAATTTAGGGTATATTCATAATCTACTGCTGTGGAATGAATACCTCAAAATTTAGTGTCTTAAAAGAAATATTTTTATCTCAGTTTTTTTGGGTCAGGAATCCAGGCAAAGCTTACCTGGGTTCTCAGCTTTAGGGTCTCTTACAAGGCTGTCAAGATGTCGGCTGGGTCTTGGGTCTCATCTGCAGTTTTGAATGGGGAAGGATCAAGGATCCACTTCTGTGATCACTCTTGTCGTTGTTGGAAGGGTTCATTTCCTCAAGGCATAATGGACTGAGACCCTCAAATCCTTGTTTTCCATTGGCCAGAGTGAGCTACAGACCAGAGTTCCATGTCCATGTCAGATGGGTCACTCCAATATGGTAGCTTGCTTCCGGAAAGCTGGGAGTCTGCTAGCAAGACAGAAGTTACAATCTTTAGTAATGGATAAATGAAATGACACCCATCTCCTTCCCCTTATTTTAGAACTAAATCATGAACTCGACCTACACTAAAGGTTATTTCCATGAGGTGGTGAATATTTGTATTAAAGGGTGGGGATTATTGAAACTTTGATGTCTTCCTAACGCAAGGCTTTTTTTAGGTCCCTCCATTCAATACACAGGAGTAAAAGTAGAGTTAAGGTGACAAGCAGATCCTTTGTTTTACCCATATCCCTGTCATCAAGTGAAAACTCTTTGGGGCTGCATGGAGGTGCAGCTGGTAAGAAAAACATCAAAAAGTATGTAGCATCCAAAGGAGAGAAAAGTGGCATGGAGTTAAAGGCAGTGGGGAGTCACCAAGAATGGTAATGAGAAAGAACTCTGAGCATGACCTGACTCACCACTGCCAGTAGTCACAAATATTTGGAAGAAAAGCTCCCCACAAAATGACTGATCCTGGCTCCACAACAGACTCTTCACTCTCTCCTAAATCTAGACGACAGACCTCAAGAAGCTCCTGTACAGACAACTGGACATAAAAAGGAAACAAATCTATGGCTACAAAGGCTTAATTTCTGCTCTAGTTAATATATTTCATATAGATCATTCATCAATTCAAAGTTAATTCTCACAACTTGGATTTTATAGTAAATCAGTCAACCACAGATAGAAAAGGCAGAACTAGGAAACTCAGAGTATGTAACCCACTTTCAGGAGGTTTTCCATATACCTGAGGACTTGTAACCAAGACAGATATGGTAGTATAAATGGGATAAGATACTGAGCCGGGGTCAGTATATTCAGAGCAAGAATGATTCAGAGCTAATTCAGATACTGAATGTGCATCCTGAGAACATCTAGGAAGTCAACTGTCGAAATCAGGTAGCAGCACCAGCCTAGACTTATCCCAAACATTTTCGTCCTTCTAGGAATATTTTCCTTTCTCCCAGAGTCCTGCTTTTTCCATGAAAAAACAGAACTGTCATGTAAAGCAGGAAAGTGTACTGATAAAGAATTATTAGAATCATTAAGTTCATTTTCTGCAAAAACAAGTACCTCATGCTCAAAAGTCATGGGTCATAGTGTACAGTGCTCTGCAATTTTGTGGCAAGGGCCCACACATAGGATGTAATGGGAATGGGCTACCTGAATGTATACAACTGCAAACTCACACTCTGATCCTAATGTCAGTCAGGCAAGAACTGACTGTTACCTGGATGCAGACTAGGTAAGTACACCCCAGATGCCAGTGTCACACATTGTGGATTTCTCCATTGCCTAAGGGTATCAGATTTCATGAGGCAGTTTTCAAAGAGCTAATAATGAGATTTTTAGCCTAACCCACAACTGCAAAAGAGGGGCACAGGCAATGGTAACTGGCTACTCCTTTTGAGACTTTTCTTCTAGAACGTTATTGACCCTGAATCAAAGTAAAAATTAGGCTGCTAGTTTCCTGAGGTCAAAAGGACACATTTGGTCTTTATTAGGGAGGCCAAGTAGCAGTTCACAGACTTGTAGAAGTTGTCCCCTTAACTATCCCATTAGACTTGGCTTCTTGTCCTTCTTTCACGTAGGTGAGATACAGGGAAAGAATTGATCACTGTAAGATTAGCAGGTGCTTCACTCTGGGAGGGGGTTGGGGTAACAACGACAAGAATGGGATTGGGGGCGGAGCAACATGGAGGCGAGGAGACGCTGCGAGTAAGATCTCCCATTAAAAAAAGTTAATAGGTAGGAAAAGCGGCAGGTCCCAGTGAGAACTGGGACACGGAAGATAAACGGGTGACTCCAGCAAACTACCCGAAGAAGAAAGTTGCCATAAAAGAGGACTAGAAGGAAGGAAAGCGTAGAACCCTGCTCCCCTCCCCCACCCACAGAGTCCGCACTCTCCGACTGGCAGAGAGGAGGAAAACAACAAACCAAAACGGCCAACAAGAACAAACGACGCAGCAAGCGGGACTGTGCGTGGAAAGGAACTATTGCAGCCACCACACCCTGTGAACGGGAGCTGTGGAGAACCCTGCAGGATCCGCTGCGGCGGTGAGCAAGGGCTCTGGGCGCCATTAGAGAAGAACAAAGACCCCGAGAGACGTGCACACAGCCCGGGCTGCCGGTAAGCTTGCGCGGAAAAACGGCGCGCTTGGCGGCGCGCTTGAAAAGCAAGTGCAGACCGGGATCGCTGCTGCCCAGGTCCCCGCGCCTGCAGCCTAGGCTTGCGGGGAGACGCGCGGAGGCCCTCACGGGGGTGAAAGTCCCTCCCTGAGTGAGCAGGAACCAGGCGCCCAGGCACGGGAGCGGGGTGCAAAAGGCGCCATTCCCGTGCCACTGAACTGGGCTACAGCCCGCGTCCTGGACCTGAGGGCTTTGGAACTGAGACCGGGGGCACGAAATTTGGGGCGTGGGTTCTCCACAACGGTGGGGCATAAGGCAGACACAGCACCCCAAAGCTGTTGAGGTTTACCCTACCATTCCCACTCTGTTCCCTGTCCCATGGGGTGGGGGAGGCGAAAAACAGCCCCCCAAGGACAATAGGAGAGATCTCTGGCGCCACCTAGTGACCAGAAAAAAAAAGTCACTAACACCCCATAGAACAGGATTTCTTAAGACTGCTTGAAAAGGGCAGAAGGCTTCTGCAGTGGCCAGCCGGGAAGTTAGCCCACGCCAGGCCCCTTCCGACCAGCAGTCTGAGCCCACAGAGGGAGCAGGCACCCACGTCCGGGGCAGACCGGGGGCGCAGAAGAGTGTGCCTGAAACCGGAGGCGCGGGGACTGCATCCCGCTTCGCCATTTTAGAACAGGGACATTTCTTCAGTAAAAACTGCCTAAAACCAGCAGAAAGCTGCCCCAGAAGCCAGAGATGGCTCCTGGAGGAGCCAGAGGGGAGCGGAGAAGTTCACCCAAGATGCCACCCAGTCCGAGCAACACAGTGTCCCAATGCATACAACAAATTAGAAAACAGACAGTAGGGAGTAGAAGAACCACACGCAACCTAACAACTCCTCAGGAAAGAAGCACACCACAAAAAGAAAACCACTCCCCAGATTGCAACGACAGCAACTTGGAAGAACTTCTGAGCCTTCCAGAAAGAGAATTTAAAATTGCCATGATTAAAAAAGTGATAGATCAGAAGAAGGAAATTGAGTCCCTAAAGAGGGAAAACAATGGTCAGAAGAATGAAATTGAGTCCCTAAAGAGGGAAGTAAAAGAAATGCAGGAGATCAAAGAATTAATGGAGGAACTAAAGAACTCTGGGAAAAGCAATGAAAGCAGGATAGATGAAATGGAAGAACTAATAAGTACTCTTGAAGACACAGAAATAAAAAGAACCAAAACAGAAAAGGAAAGAGAAGTACGAAGGAAAAAGAATGAAGAAAGACTTCGGGAATTATCTGACTCCATGAGGAAAGGAAATATAAGAGTTATAGGAATTCCAGAAGGAGAGGAGAGAGATGTAGGAACAGAGAAAATATTCCAGGAGATAATTGAAGAGAACTTCCCAAATGCGAAGAACAAGCTGAAAACTGATATACAAGAAGCAAGAACACCAAACTTCCACGACGAAAGGAAAAACACAGAAAGACACATAATAGTAAAGCTCCCAAGAATCCAGGACAAGGAAAAAATAATGAAGCTGACAAGAGGGAAGAGACAGATAACATTCAAAGGAAAACCAATCAGGCTGACATCAGACTTCTCTGAAGAAACACTACGGGCAAGGAGAGAGTGGAGGGACATAGTCAACAGACTCCAAGAAAACAGATGCCAACCAAGAATACTCTATCCCGCAAAGCTCTCTTTCCTCCATGAAGAAAGAATATGGACCTTCCCAGACAAACAGAAACTCCGGAATTTCATTAAGACTAAACCCCTACTCCAAAAAATACTACAAGGAATCCTAAAGCCAGAACCTCAGAGGGACGAATAACAACGAAAGAAGACCCAAAAAAAAAAAAAAAGTTATTAAAAGAATAAATAAATAAAATCAAAGGAAAGACAAACACAATGGCAAATACCAATGCTAACATATCAATATTAACTCTAAATGTAAATGGACTAAACTCTTCAATAAAAAGACACAGAGTTGCAGCCTGGATTAAGAAACAAAACCCAACCTTTTGCTGTCTCCAGGAAACACATTTAGCTACAAAAGATAAAAATAGGCTCAAAGTCAAAGGATGGAAAACAATCCTACAAGCAAATGGGCCAAAAAGAAAGCAGGAACAGCTATACTTATATCAGATAAAACAGACTTCAAACTCAAAAAATAAAAAGAGACCCCAATGGTCACTACATTATGATCAAGGGGACAATACTTCAAGAAGAAATAACACTCATTAACATATACTCACCAAACGAAAGAGCACCAAAATATATCAGACAATTGTTGTCCTCTCTGAAAACAGACATCAGAGAAAACACATACGTAGTGGGAGACTTCAACACACCACTATCAACAATGGATAGATCAACAAGACAAAAAATAAGTAAAGAAACTAAAGCTCTAAATAAGGACCTAGAGCATGTGGGCTTAACAGACATCTATAGAACACTAAACCCCAAAAAAACGGAGTACACATTTTTCTCAAGCGCACATGGATCATTCTCCAGGATCGATCACATACTGGGGCACAAGACAAACATCAACAGATACACCAAGACTGAAATCATACCAACCATCTTTTCTGACCACGAAGGCATCAAACTAGAAATAAACCATAAAAAGAAGGCAAGGAACTATCCTACCTCATGGAGATTAAAAACCACACTACTGGAAGACAACTGGACTAACGAGGAGATCAAAGAAGAAATTAAAAAATTCTTTGAATTGAATGACAAGGAGGACACCAATATCCTAAATGTATGGGATGCAGCAAAAGCAGTAATAAGAGGAAAATATATAGCAATAGAAGCTCACATCAAAAAACAAGAAAGAACTCAAAGAAACAACCTAATCTCGAAGCTCAAAGATCTAGAAAAAGAACAACAAAAAAACCCCAAAACCAGTAGAAGAAAAGAAATAATAAAAACCAAAGCAGAAATAAATGAAATTGAAACTAAAAAAACAATCCAAAAGATCAATGAAACCAAGAGCTGGTTCTTTGAAAAAATAAATAAAATAGACAAACCCCTAGCCAGGCTCACAAAGGAAAAAAGGGAGAAAGCACAAATACACAGGATCATAAATGAAAGAGGAGAAATCACAACGGACACAGCAGAAATCAAAAGAATAATCAGTAACTACTATGAACAGTTATATGGAAACAAGTTCAACAATCTAGAGGAGATGGACAAATTCCTACAACTCTACAATCACCCAAAGCTAGATAAAGAAGAAATAGAACACCTAAACAGACCAATTACAATTAGCGAAATTGAAATGGTAATCAAAAACCTCCCCAAAAACAAAAGCCCAAGACCTGATGGATTTACAAATGAATTCTACCAAACATTCAGAGACGAATTAGTGCCAATCCTTCACAAACTCTTCCAAAAAATTGAGAAGGAAGGGACAATACCAAACACGTTCTATGAAGCCAATATTATACTAATACCAAAACTGAATAAGGACAACACAAAAAAGGAAAACTACAGGCCAATCTCCCTAATGAACACTGATGCAAAAATCCTCAATAAAATTTTAGCTATCAGAATCCAACAATGTATCCATAAGATAATTCACCACGACCAAGTTGGATTCATTCCAGGGACACAAGGATGGTTTAACATCCGAAAATCAATCAACGTTATCCAACACATCAACAAAAAGAAATATAAAAACCATATGATAATATCAATACATGCTGAGAAAGCTTTCGACAAAGTGCAACACCCATTCATGATAAAAGCCCTTGAAATTCTTGGGATACAAGGAACATACCTCAACATCATAAAGGCCATCTATGACAAGCCAACAGCCAGTATCATTCTCAATGGTGAAAAGCTGAAAGCAATTCCATTAAGATCTGGAACAAGACAAGGATGTCCACTCTCACCACTGCTTTTCAATATAATACTGGAAGTCCTAGCCAGAGCAATAAGATAAGAGAAAGACATCCAAGGAATCCAAATAGGAAAAGAAGAAGTCAAACTATCACTATTTGCAGATGATATGATAATATACATAGAGAACCCCAAAATCTCCACAGAAAAACTAATTCAACTCATCAATCAATTCAGTAAAGTGGCAGGATACAAAATCAACACGCAAAAGTCAGTAGCCTTCCTATACACAAACAACAAATCTGAAGAAGAAGAAATCAAAAAAACCATCCCTTTTATTATCGAAACAAAAAAAATCAAATATTTGGGAATAAATCTAACAAAAGAGGTAAAGGACCTATACAAAGAAAACTATAAAACACTGTTAAAAGAAATAGAAGAAGACACAATGAAATGGAAAGACATCCCCTGCTCATGGATTGGAAGAATAAACATTATTAAAATGGCCATCCTACCAAAAGCAATATACAGATTCAATGCTATTCCAATCAAAATCTCAATGGCATTCTTCAAAGAAATAGAACAATTATTGATGAAATTCATATGGAATCACCAAAAACCCCGAACAGCCAAAGCTCTACTGAAAAAAAAAGGGAATGGAGGCATCACACTCCCAGACTTCAAACTATACTACAAAGCCATAATCATCAAAACTGCATGGTATTGGAACAAGAACAGACACACAGACCAATGGAATCGAATAGAAAATCCAGAAATAAACCCAAAGATTTATGGTCAACTAATCTTTGACAAAGGAGCAAAGACTATGCATTGGAGCAAAGAAAGTTTGTTCAATAAATGGTGCTGGGAAAACTGGGTCGCTACATGCAAAAGAATGAAGCTTGACCACTACCTCACACCATACACAAAAATCAACTCAAAATGGATTAAACAACTAGACATAAGACCTGAAACCATAAAATACATAGAAGGAAATATAGGCGAAACACTACGGGATTTGCACATCAAAGATATCTTTACAGACACATCACGCAAAGCAGTGATAGTGAAGGCACAGATAAACAGCTGGGACTACATCAAATTAAAGAGCTTCTGCACAGCAAAAGAGACAATAACCAAAACAAAGAGAAACCCCACCAACTGGGAGAACATTTTTGCACCCAACACTAATGATAAAGGACTGATCACAAAAATCTGCAAAGAGCTGATGAGACTCAACAACAACAAAGAAAATAATCCAGTCAAAAAATGGGCCGAAGAGCTAAAAAGAAACTTCTCTGAAGAGGAAATGCAAATGTCCAACAGGCATATGAAAAAATGTTCAACATCACTTGTCATCAGGGAAATGCAAATCAAAACTACCATGAGATACCATCTTACACCAGTGAGAATGGCACATATTAAAAAAACTAGCAACAACAAATGTTGGCGAGGGTGTGGAGAAAAAGGAACTCTCCTGCACTGTTGGTGGGAGTGCAAACTGGTCCATCCACTGTGGAGAGCTGTGTGGAGATTTCTGGACCTACTAAACATAGAGCTTCCATATGATCCAGCAATTCCACTCCTAGGTATTTACCCAAAGGACACAGAAACATCAATTCCAAAGAGCACCTGCACCCCTATGTTTATAGCAGCACTGTTTACAATAGCTAAGCTTTGGAAACAACCCAAATGCCCAAAAATAGATGACTGGATCAAGAAGATGTGGTACATATATAGCATGGAATATTACTCAGCATTCAAAAAAGATAAACACATGTAATTTGCAGCAACATGGATGGCGCTGGAAGGGATCATGCTCAGCGAAATAATCCAAAAAGAAAAAGAAAAATACCGGATGGTCTCACTCATAGTAGGAATCTAGAAAACTTAAATAAGGGACCAGGAAAATGAATATAAGAAAGTGAAAATCAAAATCAACAAAAATCTATGAACCAGAGACACTTTTTGGGGGGTGGGGGGCGGGAGGGGAAGGATTGGGGTCAGAATGGGGCGTTTGCAATTGTATGGGGGAATATAAAAATAAAATTTATTATAAAAAAAAAAAAAAAAAAACAACGACAAGAATGGGTATTTTTCCTCTGTGGAATTCTGGCCTTGCTTTAGGCAAACTTCATCTGAAGCAGTGTAAGTTATCAAGCTATATTGCTGTTTCTACTCCCTGCCAATGGGGCTTCAGAAGGAATGAAAGTAAATTTTCCTCTTTTCTTTAATAGGATATTCTGGGCTTTTGGTACCATGGGGTTATTAATGGCTTTCACATTCGCTGAACCCCAAGAAATTGTGAGGTACAGTTCTACCCTGAATCCCAAGTGGGAGAATATTTAGCTGGATGAATATTTAGCAGAGAGTCACAAGGGGCAAGAGGCTATGCAGTCACTGGTCTTTTAATGTACCCAATGGGCATGGGTAGTGAACATCGCATGATGTCCAGCCATAATGGACTCAGTAACAGAGGCTCTTTCTCTCTGTCTGCATATTTGGATGGCGTTGAAGACTGAACTAAATAGAACAAGGCGCCCAGTAGTGGCTATTATTGGCTATCTTTTTACCCTTTCAAAATGGGGGTTCTGAGCCTCTTTTAATCTTCCCAATGCTTTCCGCTCACTAGGTTTCTTTATTTCTCTTGTAGAAGGGTGACCTGAACAAGAGAGAAGGTTATAGATACATTTAGTGTCCTTGCATGGAAGAGGAAGCCAGGGATGGAAAGTTCCCTTACATTGTGTGTAATATTTGGAGAACAGCATATGCAATGGTCTTAATCGTGAAAGAGATTTTTTTCTCAGGTATCTGAGAAAATCTGGTACTAAAGGTGGTATCAAGTAGAGGGTTCACTATTAGGGTTCAGGGTTCATGTTGGGTTCAGCTGATGCCATCATGATTCAGTTTCTCTCTACTTCCTGGCTCTAAGATCTGGGCTGACTTCATTGTAAGATGTTCTGTCTGGTCGATTCATAGCCTGATCCCCCAAGGCGCAGATGCAGCTAAAACACGTGTCCCTCCCACTAAAAGACCCCTCTTGTCTTACAATCTAAAGTTCAGTCACATGCCCATTCCTAATTTGGCCCATTCCTGCCCAAATTAATTATATGATATTTTTCTGTCACATCTGAGTCACATACTTACTCTTCTCAGGGGAGTGTTGGGGAACGAGGACCACTGCGCAGGGACTGAGAATGGGGTAACAGTGCGCTCAAGGACGACGGAGGGACTATTTCCAGAAGCCGAATGAACGCTTGCTCCCATTTCTGGCTCGCGTCCAGAATCAGGCTGTTGACCGAAGCTTAGAGCTGTAGGAAACACCCATCCGGGGGAGGGCTCCGCAGGGGACAGCGGTGGGAGGGCACCCAGGACGGACATGGGAGAGCGAGCAATTGCTCAGAGGCTCCCCCATGCATGTCAGGCTCTCTCAGGCACCTGCCCCGAGGCAGAGAGTCCGGCTGTTAGTTTCTTGTTCAATTCCCTTTTTCCGCGGACCAGTTCGACGCCACAGCTTCGTCACACTCCTTCTATTCATTTGAACACATGAGTCCTGGACAACCAGAGGGACGGAGACGGCACGTGGGGCTGCCTCATCGAAGCGACTGGAAAACAACAGCAAAACCCAAACCACAGAGGGGCCTCCGGTCCTTTCTCTTTCTTCCCGTTGCACGGAAAAGTCTCCTCGGCTGCGGTGCCCAGCGCTCCCGCGCCGCCTCCGTCCTTGCTTCGCAGACCCCAGACTCTGGACACCGCCTTGCAGTGTAGCGCCGCCATTTACCTTCCGTGAGGCCCAGGCCCAGGGCCCTGAGCCCGGCGCGCAGCAGGCGCTGCGAGGAGCCGGGAGCAACGGAAGGAGGCGCAGGCGAGGCCCCGCCCAGCGCGCCCGGGGCGGGGTCACCGGGGGCGGGGTCACCGGGGCGGGGCCTGACGCGGGGGCGGGGCCTGACGCGGGGGCGGGGTCTGAGCGCAGCGGTGTTTGGCTTCTTGGCGGGGCCCCGCAGCTTAGTGGCTTCCTGGCTTTTGGCTTCCGGGTTCTGTGTCCATCGTTTCTGCGGCAAGAGGTGAGACCAACTTCCAAGATGAGATTCTGGGAGGTTTCTGGAAGCCCGAGCCTCTCTCCCTGCCCTGATGCTGTCCTCCCTTGTCTGCCATTTCCATCCCAGGTTGGGGTCCTGGCTGTTCACAGCCTCTCCTCGCTGTCCCCCATCCTGCCAAGCCTGGCTGCAGCCTCCGAAGACACTCTCCGAGACCTTGGGTCTGGACCGTGTCTGCTGTGCTGGTACTTGAGCCCCCTCTGCCGTGGACAACCCACCCAATTCCAGCGGTGATCATAGGAATCAATAGCGTAACAATATTGAGGCCTGTGAAGGCTTCGCCTTGTGTTGGCTGTGTGGCCAATGGCTTGCATTGCAGCACATCTCGTCTATTCTATGTAGAGATGCTGGTATTTACTAATATGGTGACTGTGAGGATCGGAGTGAACAAGTCTGGAGGCTGTGGCCTCCACTGCAGTTACTGCGTGGGGCCCTGCCAGTGCCTAGACAAGTCAAAGTGCAAGTCGTGCACTAAATCACAGAGTCCTCATCTTTGATTTAATACCGACCCTGTGCTAGCTGTTTTCAGAAGCACCAATATTAGCTTTAACTTCCAGTGGATCTGGCAGTGAGTATAGTAAGAACTGTTGGTGGAAACCGCAGGTGCAGGCCAATAAAGGCACTGGCATTGGTGGGTTGAGGGAAGGGGCAGAGCTGTTTTTCATGCTCTGCAATTTCCAGGACAGCAGAATGTCAGGTTTACTAGAGATCTGTCTGTAGGCATTTTTGTCTTATTTGTGCTAAGTTTGGTTTATGACATTATATAGATATACAGACATATCCCAACATCTATATATACTACATTGTGTTCATCACCAAAAGTGATTTCCATGTCTCACTTACTGGATCCCTTACCCCTTCATTGTGGCAGCTGCTAACTTGTTGCATACTCTTATATTTTGTTTTCTTTATCAACTAGATTGAGTGACGTCATATACTATTTGTCTTTATTGATGACTCATTTCAATTAGCTCAATACCATCCGGTTCTATTGAAGTTATTGTCAATGGCAGAATTTCATAATTTCCCCCAATACCTGAGTAGTATTTCATTGGGTATAGTTACCATGCATTTATCCACTCTTCTGGGCAGGCTGTTTCCAACTCTTGGTTATTGTGCACTGTTGTGTGAATATGGGCTTCATATTTCTTTGGATTAGTGTTTTCCTACTTTGCAAAAATACCCAGATGTGGGACAGCTGGATCCTAGGACATTTCTATCCTTAATATTTTGAGGGTTCTCCATACTGTTCCATATTGGCAGCAGCAAAGAGCATTCCTGCCAACAGTCTATGAGGGCTCCTTTTCTTCTCATCCTCACTAACACTTGTATGATGTCATTTGGATATAGCCGCTCTCAGCAAGATGTCACTGTGTGAAGGAGCACAATATGACATCATTGTTTGGATTTGCGTTTTCCTAACACTAAGAGATGGTGAACATGTTTTCATGGTATGTGACCTGTTGGCCATCTTTTTGTCTTTTTGGTTGAAGTGTCTATTCATATCCTCTCGTCATTTTTAAAAATTGGGTTGGCCTTTGTTGTTGTTGATTTTTATGAGTTCTTCTGTATTTTGGATATTAAACTCTTCTCAGATCGACATTTTACAGATATCTTTTCCCATTCAGTAGTTTGTTTTTGTTTTAATAATGGTTTCTTTTGCTGTATAGAAACTTCTTAATTTGATAAAACTCTGTTGTTTATCTTTATTTCCCTGTCTGTTGGAGACATAGCCACAAAGCCATCACTTAAAAACAATGTTTAAATTTTTATCTCTTAGGTTTTCTTCTATTATTTTATGGTTTCAGATCTTAAGTGTGTTAGTCTTTAATCCATTTGAAGTAGCTTTTGTAAATAGCGCTGCTATAAACATAGGGATACAGGTGCCCTTTGGAATTAATGTTTTTGTGTCTTTGGGTAAACACCTGGGAGTGGAATTGGGGGATCATATGGAAGTAGGTCAATGGAAACAACCCAAATGCCCAAAAATAGATGACTGGATCAACATGGTACATATACACCATGGAATATTACTCAGCAATCAAAAAAGATAAACACATGCAGTTTGTAGCAACATGGATGGAGCTAGACGGGATCATGCTCAGCGAAATAAGTCAGAAAGAAAAAGAAAAACACCGGATGGTCTCACTCATAGCAGGAATTTAGAAAACCTCAATAAGGGACCAGGAAAAAGACTAATTAATACAAAGTAAAAATCAAAATCAACAAGCACTACAAACTAGGACATACCATGGGAGGGGGGCCCAGGGGAGAGGAAAGACTTGGGTCAATATAAGGGGGGGTGCAATTGTATGGGGAATATAACCAAAATGATAATGCATACATTATGCAAAAATGAAAAATGATGTAAGAATTATATAAAATAAATCTTTAATTAAAAAAATAAAGTGCTTCTGTGCATGGTATGCAGCAGTGTTCTTGTTTTATTCTTTTGCATATAATACTCTAGCCTCTCTACATAATATACGGAAGAGACTTGCCTTACTCTAATTTATGCACTTAGTTTTTTTGACATAAATTCGTTGTCCCTATATGTGTATGGATATTTCTGGTCCTCATTTCTTTTTCATTAATGGGTATGTCTACTTTTATTCTAATGCCTTGCTATTTTGAGTATAATACCTTTGTGATGTAAGCTGAAATTAGAGAGTATGATTACTCCATTTTTGTTTTTTAGGTTTGTTTTTTTTTTTTTGCTTAGGAATATTTTACTTATTTGGTTTCTTTTGTAGTTTCAAATAAATGTTATAATTTTTTTTTTCAGTGCCACATGTCAAGTTGATAAGGAAAAGAGAAAAAGAGTGATGCCTGCATAGAAACAAATGGTCAGTTCTTTTGAGTAAGTACAACAGGACAAAATATAACTGCACCTTTTTTTAAGCTTGACTGCACTAGACTCTCCACAAGGAATCTCATACTGAGCTCTTATTTCTTTGCTTCTCAGGGTAAGAGAGTATCCATGGTGTCATCCCCAGATCTTTCCTGTAAATACCTGCCTTTTGGGGTAAGTTCCTGTCCTTGCGGTTCCAAAACGCACTTGGCTCTCCAGGTCTCCAGAGAGAGTGACATTATTTAATCTTCGTGGTAGACATAGATCTCTGAGAGCAAGGTATTAGGCTGTCCTCAAAGGTTCTGAAGTCAGTCGATTTCTAAGAGCATTCTGGTTTTCAGTCAAAGATTTATTCATTTTCCTATAGAGGAGAAAGGAGAGTCTTATTGGATTTATTCAGATAAACAAATTGCCATGGTAAGTACCAATACTTTAAGTTTTTATATTTGGGGTGAGAGAGAGAAAAGCAAATATCCCAGCTTACTTATGAAAACATGCAACTTACCATTGATGCAGATCATAGCAATCTTCAAATAGAAGCTTTCTGGACATAAAAGGCAAAACATTGAAAACCAGTATTAGCAAAAATCCACTATCGATTATATTAGTTCTATTCAGAATATTCCGTCCCATGTAGTAAGTGTCACTCTTTTGTTAGTAATTTTTAGGAGTTCAGTTTTTCATTATGCTTTGCAGTTTTTCTCAGTTCCAAGACAAGATGGCAAGCTTCTATTCCAGAATACTGTCAGTTCATTTTTCTATGAATTTTTCTGATTACAAAGTTTAGTAAGTAATCTCAGTATGTAGCAAAAGGCTTAAAAATAAACATTTTTAAAAACTGAGCATAAAGCAATAAACAAAGGATGCTTGCTCAATTTTGTGGTCCCCTTGTTTTATAATCGGATCAATAATAATATACCAGAATATATTAGGTTTTTTTTTTTTTTTTTTTTTCTGACCATGTAGAAATTTATTGCTACCACCTTTCACCATTGAAGCTTATGATCTTGGTCTTTCCCAGAATATATTAGGTTTTAAGAAGTCTCATATACCTGAAATCATTTAGATAAGTTTACTTATATGCTGAAAAGTTATAGCCAGTTCTTTGCATGACAATGCTTACTATTTTAGAATATTGATTTCAGGGAAGTTTTGCTTCAGGCTTATCATATACTTTTCCTACATCAGCTGTAGGTTCGGCCATGTGTTCAAGTAACCCCTGTTCTGTTAATGAAGAATGACATTTGGAAGCCAGGGTCAGTGTATTAGATGGGCTCCATAGGGTTAGGATGTTGCTGCTTCTAAGCCCGCTCAGTGGACTAGGTTAGGGATATATGTGTGTGCGCGACAGAAACACAACATATCCATGCATCTACATCTTTATTTGTCTGCATGTCTATCTATTTTGACAGCTATTGGTTTCACCAGTACCTTCAGCTGCAATCTGCTATCACAGAGATCATTTTAGTTTCCTTCTTTTCACTCTGCCTGTTTGTGACCTCTTTCTCCTCTAAGGAGAAATCTGAATATCATCATTCTTAATACATTTACTTGTTCATTTACTCCATCTGTATAAAAACAACATCTCATCACAACTGTCCCCTCCATGTACAGTGTCCTCTTTCCCCACTTGCACTTGGACTCAGTGGACCAAGCAGCTGTGTCATGTAGATACCCACACCCTGCACCAGGTAACCATTCTATGACAAACTCCTCTTCACCCTGGTTTGGCTCTGACACACTGTTCTAGGACCCTTCATCACCTCTCAAACTGCTCTTCTACATTTCTTTGAGATGTGGATGCTTCTTTTCCTTGGTTTACCTAGTGGCCGATAACCCTGAATTATTCAGAAAGGGAAAAGAGAAATCTTTCTACCCTTCTTTCTTGAGGCATAATTGATATGCAAAAAGCAGCACCTATTTAAGTGCACAACATAATGCCTTTGATAATAAAATTGTCACAACCAAGATACTTAGCATGTCCTTATAGCCCTCCCATTCACCTTTTTTCTTTCTTTCTTTCTTTCTTTCTTTCTTTCTTTCTTTCTTTCTTTCTTTCTTTCTTTCTTTCTTTCTTTCTTTCTTTCTTTCTTTCTTTCTTTCTTTTTTAATAAGATTTATTCATGTATTTATACAAGCACTGCGTACAGTCAGAAGTGCTGGAGGGTGAGAGAATTCACCAGAGCCAGAGTGGGGAACAGAACAGGCAGACCGATGAAATACACTGCTGATGGTGCAGTGGGTGAGACAGGAGAGGTCTGTCGTGCCATGTGCAACCCTCGCTCATGGCCGGGGATCGAACTGGCACCGCTGCGGCTGCAGGCAGCTTCGCAGCCCAGTGCTCAACCGCTGCGCCTCCAGGGGAGGCCCTCAACTTTTTTCTTAAAAATTGAGTTTTGAGATCATATGGATGTACATGTAGTTCTAAAAAACACATACCATATATGCTTAATTTATAATATCTTACCAGATATCAACAAGAGATCAACATTGGTATATTCAAGATACAGAATATTTTTATCACAAGTACCACTCATGTTTCCATATTATAGACACACTCACTTTCCTATCCCTTAGGAAACAATCGTATTCCTTCACTAATCTGGTTTCCATTTTATAATTTTGCTATTTTAAATAACATTGCTTTTGAAATGCAATTTTGTTCCAAGAATTAATGCATTTTTAATTTTCATTGTTTTAAGTATAAAAAGGGATATGGAGAGGGGCGGAGCAACATGGCGACGAGGAGTCGCTGCGAGTAAGATCTCCCATTAAAAGAAGTTAATAGGGAGGAAAAGCGGCAGGTCCCAGTGAGAACTGGGACACGGAAGATAAATGGACGAGTCCAGCAAACTGCCCGAAGAAGAAAGTTGCCAAAAAAGAGGACTAGAAGGGAGGAAAGCACAGAACCCTGCTCCCCTCCCCTGCCCACAGAGTCGGCACTCTCCGACCAGCAGAGAGGAGGGGAAAAAACAAACTAAAACGACCAACAAGAACAAACTACTCAGCAAGCAGGACTGTGAGTGGAAAGGAACTATTGCAGCCACCACACCCCGTGAACGGGAGCTGTGGAGAACCCTGCAGGATTCGCCCAGGCAGTGAAGGGCTCTGGGCGCCATTAGAGAACAAAGAGACTCTGGAGGAGACCCGCACACAGCCCAGGGCCGGCTGGTAAGCTTGCATGGAAAAGCGGCGCAGCGTGCTTGAAAAGCAAAGGTGGATCGCGGCTGCCCAGGTCCCCACGCCTGCGACCTAGGCTTGCGGGGAGACGTGCGGGGACACTCACTGAGGTGAAAACCCCTCACTGAGTAATCAGGAACCAGGCACCCAGGCACGGGAGCTGGGTGCAAAAGACTCCATTTTTGCGGACACTGAACTGGGCTACAGCCTGCGTCCTGGACCTGAGGGCTTTGGAACTGAGACCCGGGGCATGAAATTCGGGGCGTGGGTTCTCCACGATGGTGGGGCACAAGGCAGGCACAGCACCCCAAAGCTGTTGAGGTTTACCCTACCATTCCCGCTCTGTTCCCTGTCCCACTGGGTGGAAAAATCAGCTCCCCAAGGGCTCTAGGAGAGATCTCCACCTAGCGACTTGAAACGAGCAGAAGGCTCCTGGAGGTGCCAGTGGCCAGCTGGGAAGTTAGCCCACGCCAGGCCCCTTCCGACCAGTAGTCTGAGCCCACAGGGGGAGCGGGCACCCACAGCCGGGGCAGACCCGGCACACAGAAGAGTGTGCCCGAGACCGGACGCGCAGGGAGTGCACCCCGCATCGCCATTTTAGAACAGGGACATTTCTTCAGTAAAGACTGCCTGCAGAAGGCTCCCTCAAGAGCCAGAGGTGAGCGGGGAAGCTCGCCCACGCCAGGCCCCTTCTGGCCTGCAGTCCAAACTCAGAGGGGGAGCGGGAACCCACAGCCGGGGCAGACCAAGCGCACAGGGGAGTGTGTCCCCACATCGGCATTTTAGAACAGGGACCTTTCTTCAGTAAAGTCTGCTTGAAACAGACAGATGGCCCCTGGAGGAGCCAGAGGGGAGCGGAGAAGCTCACCCAAGATGCCGGCCAGTCCCAGCAACACAGTGTCCCAATGCATAAGACAAATTAGAAAACAGACAGTAGGGAGTAGAAGAACCACACGCAACCTAACAACTCCTCAGGAAAAAAGCATACCACAAAAAGAAAACCACCCCCCAGATTGCAACGACAGTAACTTGGAAGAACTTCTGAGCCTTCCAGAAAGAGAATTTAAAATTGCCGTGATTAAAAAACTGACAGAAGTCATAAGGGAAAACAATGATCAGAAGAAGGAAATGGAGTCGCTAAAGAGGGAAGCAAAAGAAACGCAAGAGATCAAAGAATTAATGGAGGAACTAAAGAGCTCTGGGAAAAGCAATGAAAGCAGAATAGATGAAATGGAAGAACGAATAAGTACTCTTGAAGACACAGAAATAAAAAGAACCAAAACAGAAAAGGAAAGAGAAGTATAAAGGTAAATGAACGAAGAAAGACTTCGGGAACTATCTGACTCCATGAGGAATGGAAATATGAGTTATAGGAATACCAGAAGGAGAGGAGAGAGATGTAGGAACAGAGAAAATATTCAAAGAGATAATTGAAGAGAACTTCCCAAATGTGAAGAAGGAGCTGAAAATTGATATACAAGAAGCAAGAAGAACACCAAACTTCCACGATGAAAGGAAAAATACAGCAAGACACATAATAGTAAAACTCCCAAGAATCCAGGACAAGGGAAAAAATAATGAAGCTGACAAGAGGGAAGAAACAGATAACATTCAAAGGAAAACCAATCAGGCTGACATCAGACTTCTCTGAAGAAACACTACAGGCAAGGAGAGAGTGGAGGGACATAGTCAACAGACTCCAAGAAAACAGATGCCAACCAAGAATACTTTATCCCGCAAAGCTCTCCTTCCTATATGAAGAAAGAATAAGGACCTTCCCAGACAAACAGAAACTCCGGAATTTCATTACGACTAAACCCCCAGTCCAAAAAATACTACAAGGAATCCTAAAGCCAGAACCTCAGAGGGACAAATAACAACGAAAGAAGGCCAAAAACAAAAAAAAAGATATTAAAATAATAAATAAATAAAATCAAAGGAAAGACAAACACAATGACAAATACAGATGCTAACATATTGATATTAACTCTAAATGTAAATGGACTAAACTCTTCGATAAAAAGACACAGAGTTGCAGCCTGGATTAAGAAACAAAACCCAACCTTTTGCTGTCTCCAGGAAACACATTTAGCTACAAAAAATAAAAATAGACTCAAAGTTAAAGGATGGAAAACAATCCTACAAGCAAATGGACCAAAAAAAGAAAGCAGGAACAGCTATACTTATATCAGATAAAACAGATTTCAAACTCAAAAAGATAAAAAGAGACCCCAACGGTCACTACATTATGATCAAGGGGACAATACTTCAAGAAGAAATAACACTCATTAACATATACTCACCAAACGAAGGAGCACCAAAATATATCAGACAACTGTTGTCATCTATGAAAACAGACATCAG